TCAGCACCAAGGCTCCCTATACAATTAATGGGAATAGACAGGCACCTGAGAATGGAATCCACAGAAGCCAGCATGGTAGGTGACTCATCTTCTAAATTAGCCATTAGGAGATGCTGAGGAGAATGGTGTGTCCTAAGCCTCAACCTCTGCTTGAGGAATTCAGCACCTAAATCCAGGTCAGAGGGAGGCACCTTCCTCTGCGTGGTATTCTCAGCTGCCAACCTTCTATTAGCATTAGGTGCCTACCCTGTGTTTGTGGGTGCAGGCAGCAGAAGGAGGCGGAGCCCTCCCTCGGAACTTTTAGCCCAGTGGTTAGGGTACTCAGCTGGGATGCGCAGCTTCCCAATTCAAGGCCCTCCTCCACCTGAGCAGGGCTCTGCCTTCTCTCAAGTGAGTGCCCGAACCAATGGGCTATAATCTGATGAAGGGCCTTCCTTCTGCTGAAGCAGTTTCACTGTGGCTAATTAGAGTCCTTGGGGTGGGACTTCGGTGATGCTGAGTAGAAGGGTATGGCCTAATGGCTATTTTTAGGGAGTGGGTGTGTCTGTCTCCACTTAGGGCTTTTTGGTGGCAGGAAAGGGCTCTGCTCAGTTTCAAAGTAGAGAATGCTAGGATTGTGGGCATAGCAAGAAGGTTGTGTGCTTGGATTGTGAGCTTGGTGGGGGCAATGTTGGAATCACAGGCATGAGGAAGAGGGAGAGACAGCAGGTCAGACGGGCACTACAGGTCAGTCAGCTAGAGTTGTGTAATTTTATATATGAAGTCTACCAGTGATACATAGTTTCCTGTTCCTTTTGGAAGCTTGGCACTGGCAGAATCTATTTATAAGTAACAGGCATGTAATTCATTTGTAAGCATATGATGACATGGTGAGCTGTCATTTCAGTTCCCCTTGAAACAGGTGGAGTGTGAGCAATCCTTTTACATACCAGAGGGACAAATTTCATGTTACACTGTACTGTGTAACAAGCTTAGGGAACACTCCTCAGCGGAGACAAAGTGTGTTGCACCTTTTTAATGGCCACTGTAGTTGTGTCTTCTGCCTGGGCTGCTCCAGCAATACTGGGGACATTCTGTTCGGCCCTTTGACCTGGCTTCAGCATTCTACAAGAGGTTATGTATGAATTTGAAAAGAATCTAAAAGGAAGGATCCTTCACTCATTGAAGAAACCCCTCCCATGGTAATTACAAGGCTGGGTTAGGATCCTATTTACACACATCTCTGGCCCTGACAGTTGTCAGTCTAGGTTAGGGTGGAAGAGATTGTTTTTAGATTGTTCAGAGCCCTGGGTGTGTTTCATAACAAGTTGTGTGTGTTGTACCCAAAATCTAGCTGCACAATTACTCATCAGCCTCCAAATCGGGCCTTGAGCTGATGACCTGAGTGAGTTTCAGTGTTTTAGTCCACAAATTTAAAGCAGTGAATTACCAGAGACTGTTTAGTACTAATGTGTTTAATTGATAAACAGTCTAGCATTGTGCACGACTGATGAATTCCTTATCCTCTGTGACAGAGCTTCTTCTCCGCCTCAGTGGGTCCCACACTTCTGTTAGCAGTGGGTGGGGATATTCCTCTTTCCCCTCAGAGTTTTCCCAGAGGGCTACAGTATTCCTCTTTCCCTCAGGGTTTTCCCCCCACGCCCCTGGGCTTGCTGTCCACACATTGCTGGAGCAGGGTTACTCCCAGCCTCCTTGAAGAGGGGAAGGGACAAGGGAGCCTCTCAGTCTCTGATAACCCCTGCAGGTGAGGTGGCCACAGACTAGACACCTGGTTCAGTCTCTCTCCTAGGGCAGGGTCTCTTCCCTCAGATCCTGGTTGAGCAGAGATTTGCCCACCCTTCGCCTCTGTACATGTAGGATTTCTTTCCTGGTGCTTGTCAGCAGCAGAACCGCCCAGCTCTCCAGTAGCTTGCCTTCCTCTCACAGCTCCTAGCACATGCCCCTGTTTGGCTGGAGACAAGGCTTTTAACAGGTTCTTGCAGGCCCTTGATTGGCCCCAGGTGTCCTAAATAACCAAAAATAACACTGTTCAGCTACCAAGGGAAAAGGGCTAATACTCACCTTAAGTAACCCTGTACCCACACTTTGGGGTAAAACTCAAGTGTATAAAGTTTCTGGCTAAGAATAACAGTTTGTAATACCAGCAATAATCCTTGAAGACCAATGTGCAAATCTGTGGGCTTGCAGGATATAAGTCAGTGACGAATCTGGTCCCAGGATGTTAGGGGGATCTAGGGCTTGTATGGCATGGGCAGAATTTAACTAAGTTATCAATCTCTGAAAATTAAAAGTAATATTCTGGACATTTTTTAAATTGCTGTGGGAGACCATTCACTGAAATCAATGGAATTACTTTGGATTTACACCAGTGAAGGTGAGATCAGAATCTTGCCCAGTGGCTTTCTTTAAGAGGTTTCCTAATAGGATTACGTGCCTTACTTAGCAAAACAATAATACTTGCTTTATTTATTTACTTGTCTGCTCAGCAAGACTCTGTTGCACCAGCCAAATCAAACATCTTTTAAAAAATGTGAATACTCGATCAGGTCTATTATTATGCTCTTGATTCAACATGTAAATCACCATAAATGCCTAAAGAGCATCCATGCATTGTGTATGCTTATGTACACTATGACAATATATTGAAGCAAAATTTGGAGGAGGAAGGAGATGCTTTGACATGAGTTAGCATGAAAATAGATGTTTTTCTTCCAGCTGCCTAGAAAATTTGTACCTAGGCATAAACTGCAGCTCCTCTTGCTCCTTCAAGCCCAAAGGATAAACTCCCAGGGGAATAATCAGGGGCTCTTTCTACATCTAAGAGAAAGGATGATCTAAACATGAGTCTCTCTGTTTTGTTCATGTACAACGATCAAACAGATGGTTGAAATCTAGTCCATTCATTTTACACGAGTAGATGTCTAACTATGTATTCATTCATCTGGTAAAATCTAAGAGCTACTTATAGTCTGCATCAGGTTTTAAATACTGCCTGGGATCGGAGTGCCAGCAGAAGCAATGAGTCTTGTCAATCTGAAGTCACTTTAGCTGTAAAGCTGCTCCTGTAAGGGTCTGGCTGTCTGACATATGTGAAGAGGAGCATGCAGGTGCAGTGCTTTGAGATGAATCTTTATTGTCTCTTGGGTACTCAGTGAACAGCACAAGTTAGCTGATAGTCTCATGCTATTAGAAAATAGGATTTCCCCCAGTGTGCATTTTCTCCCAAATCATTGAGTTTGTGATACCAAAACAGATTAGTCTTGTGACCATCCACCCTACAAACATCACCAGTGGCTACAAATCCAAATTCTGCAACTAGCATCACCATACCAGCTTCTTCCAACAATACTGATGTATTTACAGTGAACTCATGACCAGGCCCATTGAGCAACATGTCAAAGTGACACAAGATGTCAGCATTGATGGTCATGAGTCAAAATCAAACAAGCATTCTTCTTCCCACGTGTGTGTAAGCACGTACTGCAAACTAATAAAACATCTGTGACTGTACCAACTCCTTTGCAATTGAGCAATCCTTAGACAAAAGTGTCACAATCATTCTCCAGAACTATATTTCGTGTTAAGGCATTAGTGGACAGATGTGAAATACCTGCATTGCCCAATACTCACCATAAACTGACCCAGTAAGAACACAAAAATCCTTCAACTGCTGGTTTTCCTACATAATAAAAACATGTATATTGTCATGACTAGCAAACTGTACAAACTTGATTTTAATTAAATATGGGTGTACGAGAGTCTCAGTTTAATGGCATATTTAAGAGACACAAGCACATAAAATAGCAAGCTCCCCATGTTGGCAGTGTCTACATATAGGCTAACAGTGAAGAAATATAAATCCCAAAATATGTATAGAGTATTCACTATTTTATAGAACATTATCCATTATGGCTGGTCCCCCAACAAGTTGCCTGATGAATGTTTAGGTAGCATGCACCTAATTTTTTAAAGACTGTCCCTACTGTACCTAACTTAGGAGCATGTTTTCAAGTCTCATTGACTTCAGCAGCTCTTAATCAGGTGCTTAAGTTCTGTCCTAAATAAAGAGGCTTTCCTGAATTGGGGCCCAAATCATAGAGGTTCAAACTCTCCATCTGCACTATTGCCATTGACTTCAACAGTACCAGGATTTGACCCTCAGTGGGTATTTGCTTTGTTGTGTGGAGAGCACAAGAGCAGTGGACAAATGAACTGGCAGCCAGAGAACTTAGGACATTGTTCGACAAAGTGCATGTTTAAATTTAGGCATGAGCTTAAATCCTATTAACTTCAATGGGCCTAAAGTACCTGTATAAAGTTAAGCATATGTTTGATTTACTGCACAGATATGCAGTTAAGTGTCTGTAAATTCTTTGCTCAACTGGGGCCTTGGAAAGGGCCTACCTGGTGAAAGATACTCTCCTCTTCAGATTGTGAATGTTAGAGGTGGCCTGCTGTCCTCCCCAGCAGTTGCAGAGGCTAGCGGGGCTGGCAGCTGAAGGGTTCACATTTGCTAGGCAGTATAGTCACAGTGAAGAGTAATTGGCTTCAGCAAAAGCGGGAGACACGCCTCCTCCCTGCCCACTGTACGACCAGATATGTATGTGTCATTGATAAAGGACAGTCCTTACATTTATTTAGTTGTGAAAATCATGGAATAGATTCCTTTATTTCTGATCAATTGCAGAACCATAGTCAAGGTACACTTATTCTGGCCCTGTAATTACCTCTCCTCCACTCTGCACACAGTCTCAGCCAAGGCTATTTCTCACATCTGAAAATTTGACTAAAAGTATGTATTTTTCACTTTCACACTTCTCCAAGAATGATTGAAGTGACGGTACTCACACTTACCAAAATAATTTCCTTCTAGGTGGAGACCAAACATGCAAAAATTCATAAAGCAGAAGTTCAGAAAGTTTTAAGCATATGCAAATATGGGATTATTATGGAAGCTGGACAACAATACCTGTTAACAGCAGCAGGATATACTAGACAAGCATTATAACAACTGATTTATTTATTTTTTATTTAGGAACAAACTATAAAGGTTACACTTTAGTAAAAGATCCCAGACAACCTTCTTAAAGACAGTTTGACTGTCAAAGGTCTCTGATGTCGCTCAGTTACGCAAAATGCAATTATAAAATGCACTATTTCAAATTAAAATGAACAAAATGAACAAATGAACATACAACAAAACAAACCCAACAACAGTGTAACAGAACCCTCAAGATATGCATAGACCTACTGAGTAACTGAGTGATCTTATAACTGGCCTTTATCTCTCCTTCCCTTCTGTTTGTTTCTGACCCTCACATGTTGTGTCATGTCAGAATTTATATTGTAAGATCTCTGGAGCAAGTATTGTGTCTTTACTTGCTTCTGTGAAGTTCACAGTTGTTAGCTCTCAAAAACCAAAGAACATGTTACAGGGAGAGACTCTGTCATTAAAATCCTCTCCTGCTCAACTATAATTAACCACCTCAACTTCCAGTTCCAGAAATATTATTTTTCACTTGGACAGTGCTCAGACACAAATAATGACAGACATGTTTATATCAAATGAACTCTACTGGGTTTATTAAATGGTGTTACACATACAGGGTAATTAAAAAAAATCTACACTTCATGGAATATGTGCATCCACTTAGAGGATACAAATCTGGGCCAACTTCCATTGAATCTGTTGATGCTCAGTCACTGTAAAAATGTACAGGATATTTTCTGACATATAAAAAGAAAACCTACCATTCTTTGTTAATCATCCAGTACAGCTCACAGCATTCTACCACACAGCTGCATGTAGTGTTTTAGTGCAAAAGGAAATAAAAATATAAAAATATGGAGATTTGAATTTTAAAAAAAACAACCAATGGCGTTAGAGGTGAGTGTCTGCTATGGGTATTCTTCTAAGTTCTACAATCTGGGAGTTAGCCATGCTGCCTCCATCCTGGCTGCCATGGTAGGAATCATTATCACTGATATTGAGGCCTGCACCTGAAACACAAAGCCAAGAAACAAACAATGAGGACTGAAGACTGAAACAGCAAGGATGACATCATATCCTGTTACACAAGGAAACCTGCCCTACTTCTCTATTCTTATTACAGCAGCTCTTCTCCTCCCCCACAAAAGTACAGCAGATTTTCTGATATGGTCTACAGCTTTGCACCCACAGACTGTAGGCTCATTTAACTGAGGACACATCTCTGCACCTACATTGTTCATGTCTTTGCCCACAACGTAGGTCACTTAAATGTCTCAGTACCTGATTTGATGGTGTGAACAGGTACTCGGATGTCTACCTCACAGTCTCTGTTCCCCTGACATCACATGCATAAAAGGAAGCCTGGTTAAGGTAGCGCTCAAAATTTGACCCTCAGGAGTTTCTTTTTAGGGGATTCATTTCTAGTGGTGGAATCTACCATATGATGCTAAAATTATCATTTCAGCTGTTTCAATAGGGTTCTACTTTCAGCATGACCAAATGGGCAGGTTAAATATCCCTCCTTAACCCTCCCTGCTTAAACCTACAACTGGCACTGGCTGATGCATTGTGCCTGTCCTCTAGTGCAAGATAACACTGTAGTAAACAAAGCATAAAAATGAACAGCTCTTATTTGGGCTTTTCGGGACTTGAGATTCAGATTTATTCAGAACTGCACATCAATGAAATTAAGTGTGGTAACTCCAAAACAGATTAACACCAGACATTACTTTCCAGTGAAATCAGTTACAGATAGCCAAGGGCTAAGGAAAATTACACAGACTGGGCAAAATCCAGTGACTCCAGTGATTGCAAAGGAGTTACACCAGGAATGATATTTGGCTCATTAGGTTCTGAAAATGTCATGCTCATGAAAGCCATAATTTCCATTTTTTCAGGCTAAAATATTTTAAGAAATATAAATCAGTTGTAAAGCTGACTTCTTGCTCTTCTCTCCCTAGCTGGCATCCTAGGCTTTAGAATGTTTAGGAATGGTAAGGTCGGGAGTCAACAGTTTTCCTTTTAAGTTTCAGAAGGTCCTCATATTTTTTTAGGTCACCAGATGCTCTCTCTTTAGTAAGTTTCACCATGCACTTCCAAATAGGAAACTGGGGGGGGGGGGGGAGCGGGGGGAGGCTGAATATAGGAAATGTGAAAGATCAGCTATAAGACATAGGCTGTGATTTTGAATATGGAGAAGGACTCAGAAGGAAGCAAAGTGACAGGTTAACTTTTTCAAGAAGGTATGGATTCAGAGTAGCAGCCATGTTAGTCTGTATTCGCAAAAAGAAAAGGAGTACTAGTGGCACCTTAGAGACTAACCAATTTATCTGAGCATAAGCTTTTGTGAGCTACAGCTCACTTCATCGGATGCATGTGAGCTGTAGCTCACGAAAGCTTATGCTCAAATAAATTGGTTAGTCTCCAAGGTGCCACAAGTCCTCCTTTTCTTTTTTCAAGAGGGTATAACACTCTGGGTGTGTGAATTCATTCAGGGGAGAGATCACTATCAAGCAAGAGAGGTGTAAAAAGCTGTCTGATGGGGCAGGATGTACCATAATGCTAGCTGTGGAGGAGTTTAGAGTCTGAATTAGCGAAGCTCTGAAGTTGAGGAGTAGGTCTATTAAAGCCAGTGTGCCTACTCCTACACTTAAAGTTAGACACTAAGTGCTTAATTACCTTAATGATGAAACTATTTGAAATTGAAAAAAGCATAACTATTTTTTTCCCTTTTCTTGTTTTTTGCACTCTTTCCTTCTCTTAGATGGGGACTGTTTAGTTTAGAAAGGAGAGATACAATATAATGAGTGATATAGAGAAGGTAAATCAGACACTCATACTGGCCTCTTATTATGCAAGAACAAGATGGCATTCAATGAACTTGAAAGGCCACACATGTAAAATAGATAAATGAAAATTATTTTTTTGCACAAAACAATTAGCCTGTGGAATTTATTGCCACAAGATATCTTTAAGACAAAGAGGTGAATGGCTTTCAAAAAGGATTAGACACTTACATGTTTAATGAGGATTATTTTACAATGTACATGAACCCTCATGCTTCAGGTCATTAGGTAACCACTAACTGATGGTGTTAGAAAGAAATTTCTCTTGCAAACATGTTATTCCAGCATTGTCCATCGTGGGGGTTTCTTGAAGCATCTGGCAATGGTCATTATCAGAGACAAGTTTCAGAGTAGCAGCCGTGTTAGTCTGTATCTGCAAAAAGGAAAGGAGGACTTGTGGCACCTTAGAGACTAACAAATTTATTTGAACATAAGCTTTCGTGAGCATCCGATGAAGTGAGCTGTAGCTCACGAAAGCTTATGCTCAAATAAATTTGTTAGTCTCTAAGGTGCCACAAGTCCTCCTTATCAGAGATAAGATACTAGACTACATGGACTAATCTGATATTGCAGTACTTACATTCCTAAATGGAACATGGCCAGGCAGCATCCTTTTAGGAAGGAGACAACAGATTGTTGTGTTTAAAATAGGTTAATTCCCTTTATAACAGTCATTGCTCTGACAAAATGTTTAGGAATTGATCCTTTTTAGGAATTAGAGTTTCAATGTAACCCGGGATACCAAACTACCAAACAGTTGGTCTACAGATTAGTGAGGCTAGGAGTGTTTACAAGACAAGGTTTGCAGAGTTCATTGGGCCAGCTTGTTCTCAGTTTAGGGCCCATCTTGCCTCAGAACTAGATGTAATCATTTCAGAGTGAGCATGGTTACAGCTGCAAAACCAGCAAGGCCCCTCCAGTGACATCTACTGGTCAAAAGATTTATTCAGTGAATCCCAACACTCAACATACTTTAAAAATTGTTCCACATGAAGGGCCTAAGTTTGATCTTACTTAGCTGCCTGCACACGTATCAAGCTTTCACTATAATATCTGTGAAAAATGTTGAATGTTATTTTTATCTGTTGTACACATTTTTAGGGGTATTTTAATCATATTATAAACACATAGACTATATTCTGTATCCATCACACTTTTTTAGTCAATGTGCAATATTAGACATTACATACAAAAATCTGATGGTAGATATACACACACTCTTACACTTTACATCTCGTTTTATGGGATTGGCTGGCTATAGAGATTGGTAGAGTAATATGTCACCAATTGATCCTCTAGTGACAAATTTTAGGATTCAATGGAAATGAGTCCTTGGTCCTAGTGGAACCATGTCCCACATCCACTATTTCAGCTAGCACCTCTGTTGGCAGTAACAATGGCCAATTGAATGGGCAGGGAAGTCACCTTCTCCCCCTTTTCTCACCTTTTGACTTGTTCCTTTCAGACCGGATATGAGGTACATTGGTGAGGCAAGGTGGGAGAGCTAAGATTGCCATTGCCTGTACCATAGCTGTGGATAAAAAGGACTTTTCTCTACAAGAAGTTTATCCAGCACCTTTCAGGAATGCTAAACAACTGAACATTTCAGCCAATATTTTCAAAAGTGACTTCTAGTTTTGGGTTCCCAATCTGAGATACTGAGTCTCAAAGTGAGCACGCAAAATGATGGCAGCCAAAATTAGCAGACTCTTTTGAAAATGTCGACCTGTTCAATACTATATTCAACGAATTATTGTGGGACGCTTACATGGCGTTGTGTGTTGTATTTTAATAACCGATTTACTTTTCAAATTATTTTTGATTTTGGAGGGTTTTTTACATTATTAACGCAGAAGGGCCAAATTCAGGCTGGCAGTGAACAAAACTTCCTTAAACATTGCAAATGTGGGTCATAAACCTGCCTTCCTTGGTTCTGTCATCACTTGATAATCTCAGGTGTAGTGTGGTAGTGATTATGAGCCAAAAGTATGGTATGACTTCTAATGACTACTATAAACACACCTGCTCCCCAAACAGCTTATTCATACCACAGGCAAGAGAAGGAGCAAAACTGTGCATCTAGGAATGTTTTGGAGGCTTTTATGTGTTGAACCTCCATCGGGCCCAGAGGGAGTGACTTCAGTAGAAAGGCAGGGGTGGGAGTGTTTGTGATTGGTGGGAATATGGTTCGGACTGAGAGGTCAGTAAGGCTAGCATTCAGTTCCGGCATTAAATTTATGCCTAAGGAGCAAAGCTTATGAGTAATTCACTGCTTGAGGCCAGCATCCACCGATTTTTCCCTTCATCCCATCCTTTTTTAACTACACTCCCCCCTTACATAACATGTGGAGATCCAGCAGCTTACTGCTTTCTAGACAGGAGGACTGAAGTGTAGCTGTGCTTAAATGGGAGTCATTTTAAAATGGTTTTATATCTTAATTACCCTAACCCCATGTATTAGAGTGAATCAGTCTTAAAGAGGAGGGGCTCATTAAGCTGTCAAGATGAGCTTGAGCACTAAAAAAGGAATCAGACAAAATGTGATTTAGCCCAAAATGAATGGGTATTATTAGATAATTAATGTAATTAGCAATAACTAATTATGGAATAATTATCCTTATTCAGTGGAAGCATAGTCCTTTGATTTATTATGAAAGCCATAAAAGAAATAAAATAAAATAAACCATTTAAGCCAACCTAATGACTAGCAGGAAACAAACAAGGTTTTAGCATCAATCAACAGGCAGTACATTTTTTTATATTATTTTTCCTGGAGTAATCTTTCCTTAATCCCTTGCACAGAGCTGAAGCTCTTGGAGTTATACAAACTACATGATACTGTACCCAATTTCTCTGCTTCCCTGGCACAATGCTGTATTGGAGCCAGCTTAACTGGCCACTGGAGAATTCCCCCATAGTGGAATCCTTGGGTGACGTAGACTCACCATAGTGGCTCCTGTAGTATTCCTTCCAATACAGGGGGGCTAGCTAATGGAAAGGGGACATAGCTGGGTGTTCTTATGTTCAGCAATTCCTGGCTGACAAACAACCCCTGAGATCATTGGCAGCAAACATAAATTAGAGAAACCTTCAGGTTGCTCTGAATTACCTCTGCATTTCATACCGGAGTGTCACAGAGACATCTTTACTCATTCTCATGCTGACCAGTCCCTCAGGATCTGAGCCATTATTTCTAGCATAATTAGGGCTACCTGTAGAAGGTTCTGGATTGACAATCTTGGGGAATGAAGTCTTCTACTTATCCTTAGACCAGGTAAAACAAAGGCAACAGGAGTGCAAGCTTCCCCACCCCACTAAAATGCCTCAACCTTTTTCAAAAGGGGCTACCAGAAATGCACTGTGCAGTACAGGGCAGTCTGAACAACATGTTCATGCAATCTGAGGTCGTTCTCTTGAGTCTGCAGAAAGGTTGTCAGATAGTATTTAATAGGAACCAAATAGAAATGCTTTTCTTAATAACCTCAAATGAAAATGTATCTTTTCTCCTTTGCCTGCATCTTTTAATTGCTCTCTCGTTGTTTATCCCCATAATTGTATTATTTAACTCTGCCATGGATTTTGGATTAAGTGTGATGGGCCACAGCCACAAAGTTTGGATCCTCATTCTCTTCAGGATTTTCCTTGGATACATTAGACAGGTGGGGCCAGTTCAAATCTTGATTTGATTTGAATCTGGATTTGATTTATCTAGCTACTTTTATGATCTCCATTACTGGAGTTTTCCTAAAGCCTGGAGCTGTTCAGAACCAAGGTCTTGGCTCAAACTCACCTCTCATATAAAATAAAGTTGTGCTGAACTAAGGCAAACTATTCTTACTGTTGGTTAATAAACCGCCATCACATTAAATCCCTGCTACTCTCAAATTGGAACTGATGTTTTAAGGCCCACTCCTGCACACTCTTTACTATTGAATGTTGTGATTACTGCTGTGAATGGCTCAACTGACATCAAATGCAGCTGCACAAACAATAAGCACTATTATTGGTGGTAAGCATGTGCAACATCTAACCCATAATGACGAAAGTCTCCATTATTATCAGGGATCGTAGTTTTCCGTGATTAAAAAACAAAATTCTCCAATAAAAAAAACACAAAATCCAGAATTTTCCACAATTAAAATGAAATGCTTAACTTTAGTTTCCCTAGCCACAATATATATAGGTATCAGTTGAACACAATGTTTTACTGATATACAGTAGAACCCCATTTATCCGAGCCTCCATTATCCGGCTGTCAGTATTAACTGAGTCACCAGCTGTCCGGGGCGAACAGTGACTGGGGCTCAGGAGGTCAGTCCCAGGCAGCTGCGTAATGGAGGCTCAGAAAACAGGGTTCTACTGTACATTTTTATTTTTTCACAAAATTGTAAAAACTAAAGATTCTCTTTAAAAATGCAAATTCCAATTTTTTCCATGGCAAATGGATTTCTAGGATCCCTGTTTATTACCAATTTTCTGTGTCATTCAGTTTCCCGAAGATTATTTTAAAAGCATATGGAAGGAAAAAATAAAACAAAAAAATAAAGGCCACAAATTTTTTAAATGAATGCCTGAAGCCAGCGGGAGCTACCAAGTGCTCAGAATTTTTGAAAATCTGGCAACTTATTTAGATACCCTATTATGGATTTAGGAATCTAATTTCAGGCGCCCAATTTCGAAAATCTTGGCCAAAAACTGTACTAAATGCTACAGTAGTTAGCAGTAGACTGTGTGACAAAAGAAAAATGTGCTGAAAAATGTCCAGTAGAAATGAACATGTTCAGGAAATGAACCGCAGGTTGGACAATGTAAAAAAATACCATTGAAAGTGACAACCTATAAAGAAATAATTTGGTAGCTTTGTGCCTTACCCTAGAATAATCTTATAATTCACTTTTTCATTAAAAAAACAAAACAAAAAACAAATCAATTGGCTTGTTAGGATATAGATATTCAGGCCTTAGGATATAGATATTCAGGCCTGTCTGCAAAGGCCTGTACTTTAAGAATTTAGGTGTATTCTTATCACTTGGCTAGTTCTAGAGGTATAAAAGAAAGAATAAAAATCACTGTCTGGCGGTGTAAGGGCCTTCTCTTACTGTCACAGTCTGAGGCCCTGTTCTTAGGCTATGGCCTTTGGCTAAGCAGCAGAGGCAGCCATAAGCTAGGAAGCGACCGGTCACCTCCTCACATCCCAAACTAGTCACATTGAAATAAGGCGCTATTGGGCTGTTAGGAATACAGTCCTGTCCTGATAGTGCCTATCACCTCCAGAGAAAGGGAAGTGCCTAGAAAATGTTAAAGGAAACTTAGTTTGATAGCATCCTGTGTGGCAAGAACTCACTTATCAATACTGGGATGTGAAATCCTCACTTCTGTATTGCTTTGTCATTATAGTTCCCACTTTGCTATTGTTTGTCTGTATAATCTCTGTCTGGTTCTGTGATTGTTCCTGTCTGCTGTATAACTAATTTTGCTGGGTGTAAACTATTAAGGTGGTGGGATATAATTGGTTACATAATCATGTTACAATATGTTAGGATTGGTTAGTTAAATTTCAGGAAAATGATTGGTTAAGGTATAGCTAAGCCGAACTCAAGTTTTACTATATAGTCTGCAGTCAATCAGGAAGTGAGGGGGTGGGTGTGTGGGTGGGAGAGATGGGAACAGGGAATGGGGGTGGAGAAATTGGAATCATGTTTTGCTAAAGAGGGGAAATGGGAACAGGGAATGGGGGTAAGGAAATTGCAATCATGTTTTGCTAAAGGGGGAAATGGGAATGGAGGTAAGGAAATTGGAATAATATTTTGCTAAGGGCAGGAATGGGAACAGGGACACAGGTGTAAGGCTCTGTGGTGTCAGAGTTGGGAAGGAGGATACTAAGGAAGGAAACTGGAATCATGCTTGCTGGAAGTTCACCCCAATAAACATTGAATTGTTTGCACCTTTGGACTTCGGGTATTGTTGCTCTTTGTTCATGCGAGAAGGACCAGGGAAGGAAGTGGGTGAAGGAATAAGCCCCCTAACATGGCTTACTATAGTTTTATAAAACAAAAACAAGTTAAGTGGCACCAGCAGAATGTGTATCTTTGTGTATTTATTGTAACATTGGCTGTTTATTTGGAAGCTGCACTGAATTAAATGTGGAGGACTTTCTCAAGCACAGAAAGGAACATGAACACTTTTAAATGGTTAGCGTTTCACATACATAGGACTAAAGTAAAGGGTCCCCACTGTTGGGGTGCACTTTTTAATTAAATGGGAAACGTGCAACTGTTCAAGGGCAGTTCAGATTTAATGTACATATTCTCTGTCTTTATTACACACACATATGTAAAATATAACATGAAGTCAAGATACAGTTATATTGTAATAGTATTCTTTCATATTTAAAATTAATATTTTAAATTATTTTAAATTATTATTTATGATACAGTACACACTACATTTATATAAACAAATGCATACAATATAGGTATAGTACTGCACCATATATTAGGAATTTAAATGAGAGAATACTATTTGAAGCTTAACTTTTGAGGGATCAATCCAATCTACACTGGAGTTAATGGGAATCATTCCATAGAGTTTAATAGGAGTTGGATTGAGTCATAAGACAGTATAAATACACTTATTAAAACAGCTGAAACCTGGTGAAGGGAGAGAGCCTGAACGTCTATGCTGCTTTTATTAGCCCCACTGCGTAGGTCCCGCAAACCCAAGTCTGGGCTCAGACTCGCTGCTGTGGGGTTTGTTTGTTTATTTATTTGGTTTTGCTTTGCTATGTAGACTTACACCTAAAGTACTTGGAGAAAAATGTTAAACTTTCAACCTTTCCTGGCTTCTGTCGGTTTGTATCACAAGCTTAATGTTATTCAAATGATGCTTTTGTAGGCCTATTTCCCTTGTTATTTCAAATAATATGGTCATTATTCTTAGTTCAGAGAATAACAGTTCACACCAAAACAAAAATGTTGCTCTAGATTTGTACTGGCAATCAAGAATGTGTTAGCAGCAATTGGATCTTCCCTTTTAGTGACTCCCTGAGAAACTGTTATGTTACAAAGCATAGCATACAGGCTTCTAGAAACCAAGAAAAAAAACTGCTACTCACCAGTTTTTAAAGCAAAGATTAAGTCATCAAACTCTTGTGATTCCTCATCAGACACCAATGAGCTGTTACTAAATCCTCCAGAAGTGTTGAAAGCATGCCCATTTTGCGGGCTCTGCTTAAAAGTAGCACTGGCCTGACTAGTTGGCCGCAAGGATGCCCTCTCCCAGTCTGCTGGCACCTTAAATGAGTTTAAAAGTCTCAAAGCTGCAGTTATCATCAAAAGCTATAGTACATGAATAGTTCTGTCTGTCCACATTCTTAACCAGACCCTCTTCACTGCCGTATCTGAACGGTTTGAACCCATGACTATGCAGGATCAGGGGAGTCATAATGGGCTTTTTTGGCACCTCTTCCTGGGGAAAGTCTAGCTCAATGTTTTTCTCTTTAAAATTACTGTAATTGATTACAAGTAATTTGGCTTTGTGTTCATTATGAATGGTCTAGTTGGTTTAAAAAAGTCATCCAACTTTTCCCCATATCTGAAGATTCTCCTCAGGTACAGAGAAGTTCTAATTAAAGTACTCTAAAATTCCATTGAAAATCTCTTTGTTTGTTCTTTCTTTGAATGTCAACGTGGTTGCCTTTCCCCATCTGAGACTCTCCAAAACAGTCTGTCTTTCCTCTCCATACCATCTAAGATCCTCTTTCTTTCCACTTGATACGACCCTTCGCTGGCGCCCCACTCTCCCTCCCATCCCACGACAATCTTATTTATTTGTTTAAATAATTCATCTTCACAATATTATGTGCCTTTGAAAATGCTGGGGCAGAGCTTGGTAGTACATCCCATCAGCCATCTAATTCAAAACTAGAACTGACCAGAAAACAGAATTTCTGTCCCAGAAAAAAAATGAGTTTGAATTGTTTTTGTTTCACAGAACTCATCATGTGATAAATCCAATTGTGACATCCATAAAGATCAGAAGTGAAAACCTGGCCCTACTGAAGTCAACAGGAGTTTTGCCATGGACTTCAATGGGGCCAGGATTCACCCCAGAATTACAGTAACCTAGAAAGTATTTTATGTTGACTGTGACCTACTTTTCAAATACTCAATCCATGGCCTTATAACAAAGCTAATAAGCAATGTAAAAAAAAAGGGGGGTGGGGTGGGGTGATCTATAGCTCTGATGTTACCAGAGAGCTGTAATTCAGAGGAGCGCTACCATGCCTGACAATAGCAACTTTTATTGTACAAGCTAACATCATTATATATTCCCCCCCCCCCCCAAATTCAGACATGAAGCATAAAAACAAAAATAATCCCACCCCGCCAATTCACAGGTGGTCATCTCACATCTATGTATATCACTGTTTCCCCATTCAGCTTTACAGAAAGTATGATAATGATTATGAGGTATAGAATACAGGTACCTCTTCTATAGCACTGATCAGGTTCTGAGTAGACTTGCTGATCTCTCCTCCTGCTGGGGGCATCCCACTGCCATGTGTGAAGAAGGCGGAGCCTGGGCTTGTGTGTCCATTCATATCTATGGTGTAACTTGCTTTCACAGGGCAACAAAGCTGGTTGTGTAGGATAAAATACACCACAAAGACGTAAAGACCCTGGAGAAAAGGAAAGCATCAGTGAAATGAAGCAATCCTAGATTGGGAACACAGAATCATGACAAGATTCTACATGCCGTAGCAGATGCCCTCTTTTACTCCAACAGCCAATGGTTCATGTGATTGGGATATGAAACACTGAATCACAAGAGCAGGTGTCATTGTAAAACTCAGGTTTAGAAGTTAACAGTAAGCGTAATCTTATGTCCTGAGGCCCCCAGTAATGATCATTAAAAATGATTATCTGGTTAACCCACCCAGTTGTGAAGCCAAGATCAGAGCAAAAAACAAGTTTCGCAGCCATCACAACAGTGAGAAAACAGGTTTAGGGACTGCTTTACAACAGAAACTGGCAACTGCTCACCACTTATTTTATTCTGCCAGCCACTATTTTTTGTTCTCATATTGACCTGCTGGCTTCTTACATTCCTGCTCTAACATCAATCTCATGCAAACTGCTTTGCTGCCATCATTGATATCAAGCTGCAGTTTTAAAAGAAATTCTCCATGCTACTCTCTAATTGAACAGTGGCTTTCATTTATGATTTTTACAAGAGCCCTACTGTGTGTGTCTCTGTGGCTCTTCTTTAAAACTTGCTAATTTTGACCTTTAAGTTGAGCCAACACAAAGTGTTAAAACTGTGTCTTTTGTCTGCACAAAAATCATATAATTTAACTTTTGGGACTGAAATCTGACTCTCTCTTTCTGGTCTGATTGTTAAATTATATGAATATTGGGTGTGGGCAGAAGGGAACAACTTTTTAAATAAAGAAGAAGGAGTTAATTCCGAGATCTGCAGAAAGGAGAATTCTAGAAGGCTTCCTTTTATTGAATTTGCATTGTTTTAATGGCTCCCTCTGTCGTCAGGACTTATGAAAAAACTAAATAGGGCAAGTCGTTTGAAATGTACCCTACAGGCATGAAACTTGTAATTGAGCTTATAAATAGTAAATGAGCTTTCATTTAGCCTCTTATTCTGAGGAATTTCTAATGTTTGCAACTTTAAATATGAAACGAGACTGGGAACACCCAGTTTCTGCATGTATGTACACCTACGCAACAGAGACTGAAACCACACTTTATCAGAGAGTCACAGATTCATAGATTTGAAGGCCAGAAGAGACCCTTATGATTATCAGGGCCAGATTAAAGACTTTTAGAGCCCTATGCACTATGGAAATTTGGGGGGGGGGTGGATGCTACCTATCTTAGACTAGATAGAGAGGGCCCAAGCCTGTGGGGTTGCTTCCCTCTGCATAAGAATGGGGAAGGGGTACTATACCCTGTATGCAGCCAGGGACCTGCTCCCAGTCCCACCTATTCCTGATCTCAGGCTCAACTGCTGGTAGGAGTAGTAAATCCCCAGCCCTGCTTCTGCCTCTGGGCTCTTGTCTTGCCTCGGGCCTGGTAGGATCTGAGTGCAGCTGGGGTGGGCAAGTTGCTTCCTGCACTATTGATCATGGGTGCAAAACCTAGTGGCACTATGACCCTGTGAGCCAGATCACAACACCACTCACTCACTCACTCATTCAGCTGGGGTGGCCAGGCTAAATCTGAAATAGGGGTCCTGTGCAACTGCACCCAGTGCATACTGGTTAATCCAGGCCTGATGATCATGTAATACAAGAAGATGAAACCCCCAATCGGCTGAATACCATAAAAATGCCCCCTAAAACTACTGCAATGTTTGCTTCAGATTTTTGCAAAACAAGTTTAAGAGCAATAAAAATGTTAAACAATTAACTGTATTGATAAAAAAAGATTTTTTTACTGGATGATCTGTTTTTGTTTCTCAGTGATGTTCATGAACATCTTCGGGGAGGGGAGCCTTGTGAAAACTGAGTGGTGAGGTAAGTCTGTAAATTTAAAAATTAAAGCACATAGTACATACTTTTTTCTTTTTTTTTTTTTAAACCAAAGGAACTATTGAACAGGAGCTAAAACATCCTCCCACTCTAAAAACAAATCGAAGGACTTTTAGGTGGGTTGGACATAATGGGATCAGCAACTGAAACATTTTCTGTAAAAAAGTTAAGTATAAATTAGGGCTGTCAAGCGATTAAAAAATTAATTGCAATTAATCACACTGTTAAACAATAAGAGAATACCGTTTATTTAAATATTTTGGATGTTTTCTACATTTTCAAATATATTGAGTTCAATTATAACACAGAATACAAAGTGTACAGTGCATACTTTATATATTTATTTTTGATTACAAGTATTTGCACTGTAAAAAAACCAAAAGAGTATTTTTCAAGTAATACAAGTATTTTTCAAGTACTAATACAAGTACTGTAGTGCAATCTCTTTGATTTGAAAGTTGAACTTACAAATCTAGAATTAGGTACAAAAAACAACTGCATTCAAAAATAAAACAATGTCAAACTTTAGAGCCTACAAGTCCATTCAGTCCCATGTCAGCCAATTGCTCAGACAAACAAGTTTGTTTATATTTGCAGGAGATAATGCTGCCTGCTTCTTGTTTACAATGTCACCTAAAAGTGAGAACAGGCTTTCTCATGGCACTGTTGTAGCTGGCGTCCCCCCAAGATATTTACGTGCCAGATGTGCGAGAGAGTCATATGTCCCTTCACGTTTCAACAACCATTCCAGAGGCAATGCATCCATGCTGATGACAGGTTCTGCTTGATAACAATCCAAAGCCGTGCGGACCAATGCATGTTCATTTTCATCATCCTTTCAGGCTACCAGCAGAAGGTTGATTTTCTTTTTTGGTTGTTTGGGTGCTGTAGTTTCTGCATCGGAGTGTTGCTCTTTTAAAACTTCTGAAAGCATGCTCCACACCTCAACCCTCTCAGATTTTGGAAGGCACTTCAGATTATTAAACCTTAGGTCAAGCACTGTAGCTATCTTTAGAAATCTCACATTGGTACCGTCTTTATGTTTTGTAAAATCTGCAGTGAAAGTGTTCTTAAAACTAACGTGCTGGGTCATCATCTAAGACTGCTATAACATGAAATATCTGGCATAATGTGGGTTAAACAGAGCAGGGGACATACAGTTCTTCCCCCAAGCAGTAGAGCCACAAATTTAATTAATGGTTTTTTTTTGTTTTCGTTTTTTAAATGAGCATCATCAGCATGGAAGCATGTCCTTTGGAACGGTGGGCGAAGCATGAAGGGACATACAAATGTTTAGCACATTGGACACGTAAATACCTTGCAGTGCCATCTACAAAAGTCCCAAGCAAATGCGTGTTCTCACTTTCTGGTGACATTGTAACAAAGTTGGCAGCATTATCTCTCTTAAATGTAAACAAACTTTTTTGTCTAAATGATTGGCTGAACAGGAAGTAGGACTGAGTGGACTTGTAGGCTCTGAAGTTTTACATTGTTTTGTTTTTGGTGCAGTTATGTAACAAACAAACAAAATATACATTTGTAAATTGCACTTTCGCGATAAAGAGATTGCACTGCAGTACTTGTATGAGGTGAATTGAAAAATACAGTTTCTTTTGTTTCCATCATTTTTACAGTGCAAATATTTGTAATAAAAATAATAATATAAAGTGAGCAGCGTACACTTTGAACTGTATTGTAATTGAAGTCAATATATTTGAAAATGCAGAAAAAATCCAAAAATATTTTATACATTTCAATTGGTATTCTATTGTTTAACAATGCAACTAAAACTGTGAATAATAGTGATAAATTTTTTATCGTTATTAATTTTTTGAGTTAATTGCATGAGTTAACTGCGATTAATCGACACCCCTAATATGAACATAAAAAGGTATGAATGATGATTGTTGTTGAAGCAATTCTAAGAAGAACTGATGATAGTGAAATCATTGCACTCCGGAGTTCAGACAGTCTCTAGAAATTCAGTCTCTAAGAACCCATTCATAAAAGTTGCACATATATTTTATGTACCGTTTGCATTTTTCAAAAAGAATCTGCATGTTGAAAATGACTCACGTCAAAACTACGCACTTCCTTCCCATCGAATTGCAAGGATATAAGATTTTGCTGTGGAAGGCCAAATTCTGCCAGGCCCTGTCATATGTCCTGGCAGTAGACACTCTGCCAGAAAAACTTGATATGATGCAAAGTGCCACTGAGGATTGGCAGTCAACTAGCGCTGCTGCAAAAGCAGACTGAACTGGCCAATGCAGGGGCATGATTAGGTAACTATAGCGCCCCAGTGGAAACTAAAGCTACATCCTATATAGAAATGTCAAGGGAAGACAGGTGGTGGTACTAGCCTGGGTAAATCATCTCAAATGAATCTGCTTGGAACATACTAGAGCAGGCAGTGCAAAAAGATGCCCTTTGCACTTCCTTCCCTCTTCCCTGTGCCAGCAAGAGTGAATCTGGCTTGAAACATTCTAAACTTTCCCTGGGCACCTCAAAGGGAGTGTGTGCTCTTTCAACAAGAAAGAAAAGGTCAATTCAGAACAACTGCTATCCCTGAAGTAACTGGATGAATTAATTGGGAGGCATAGGGAATCCCTGGTCACATCCCCTTTCTCCCACGCATACGCCATGCCAGCGTGAGATATGAGTTTCCAGAGTGGCTCCATACCACCAGAAGATACACCAATTTAGGCTGGAATCTGCCAGTGACCAGAGATCAAGCTCCATTACCAAACGCAAGAATCTGGAACAGAGGTTGGCTCTCTGCAATGCTAGTACATGAGAAGAAGGGTACCTTTAGAGGGTTTAAGGCAGGAGTACAGGCTGCAAACAACAGAAGGCAATATGGTTGTTTTGTGCACAGAGCACTGCACTGCACAGCCCAATTCCAAAAGAGAGCAGTGACATAATTATGTGACTATGGAGACCCAGAAGAGATTAAAGCTGCCCTCACTTATGTGGCAGGTGGCTGTTTGCTGCTCCTTGTCAGCCCAAGCCTCCAGCTCAACTTATTCCACTATATTAATTCTATTATTAAACATTTAGATTGCAGAAGTACCTGGAGGTCTTGATCTGGGATCAGTGCCCCATTGTGCTAAGCACTGTATGAATGAATAGAA